GGATGCATCTCTTGGAGGAGACAACAGTTCGGACAGAGTGGACCCCGGCTCCTGGCCCTGTGGATGCCTATGAAATTCAATTCATCCCCACGGTGAGAAAGATGCCAAGCTCCAGGAGGGGACTGAGTGAGCAGGATGGGCGGGGTGGGGGGCGGGCAGGGCTCACCTCCTGGAGGAAGTTCCAGGTAATCATTGGTTGAGTCCAGATGGCTGGGTTCCTGAAGCTGCTGTAAAGGCTTTCTCAGCCTGCTTGACACTGGGCACTGAGGCCTCTGCAGCATCTCCAGCAAGCATTGGTTCCACACAGTTGGAACACTTGGTAACAGAGAGCTCAATACTTCCTGAGGCTGCCCAGTCCATTGTTGGTCATCACTGTTAGTTGTTGTGGTTGTTGCGGAATCCGTCTGCCCCCATTCTAGCACCTGTCCGTTGGCCCTAGCTGGGTAGTCATCAGCAGCTGGAATGTTTTTTGCTTTCCCTGTGTCCTACACCACAGGCCTTCAGGTATTTGCAGACACCAGCCTGGTGTCTCCATTCCTCAGGCAAAACCTCCCAGTTTCTTCACCCCTTTTCCCTAAGTCTTTGTTCTCTGAATACTTTACCTTCCTGTGACTCTTGCTTTTTTCATGTGCCCCCAAAATGTGGGGGCAGAGAGGGGCCCACTGGCTTACTCTGGATTTACGGACACTTTTCTCAGAGTTGGCATATATTAACTTGTAGTCACACAAGCGGGTAGCTGTTTTGGTCATATATGGTTTTTAAAGTAACTTTTAATTATAAAAGTAATACAGGCCCAGTGCAGAAAACTTAGAAAAAACTTAGAAAAAGCAGGGAAAAAAGATGGAAGGAAAGAAGACAACATTCAACTATATACACTTCTTTTTTTTCACCTAAATATAGGCCTTTGCATTTGGCCCTGTTCAATGTTATCTTTTTTGGTTTGGGCCAAGCTGTCTAGGCTGTTGCAACAATTTTGAGTCTGTGAACTTCATCTCCCACCTCCTTGTCATCAGCACATGCAAACCAGTTTTTTCTCTGTCTCCCTCCAACTTGCTCTTTTTTTTTTTTTTTTTCCTTGAGACAGAGTCTCGCTTTGTGGCCCAGGCTCGAGTGCAGTGGTGCCATCTCAGCTCACTGCAACCTCTGCATCCCAGGCTTAGGTCATCCTCTTACCTCAGCCTCCCAAGTAGCTGGGACTACACGTGTGCACCACCTTAGCTTACTAATGTTTGTATTTTTAGTAGAGACGGGGTTTCTCCATGTTGCATGCCCAGGCTGGTCCTGAACTCCTGAGCTCAAGTGATCTGCCCGCCTCAGCCTCCCAAAGTGCTGGGATTACAGGCATGAGCCACCACACCCAGCCATCCATCTTGCTCTTAAAACATTAGAGGGAATACCCTAAGGACAAAGCCTTGTAGTCACTCATTTGGGACCTCTGTTTATGCAGATTGGGCTTTTAAGATATGGTCATTTCCCTAGCTCCAAATCTTCTGACATTTCTACCATCCAACTCATGTTTTCCTGCATCATCCCACAAATGCCATGGGGTGTGGGCCATGTCACCCTCATCTTCATCAGCTTAGCCAGGACTCTGTAAAAATAAACAACTCCCGGGGCCTAAGGCCTCAGAAGGCACTAGGACAGAAGGGGACAGCTCAGAGGAACTGTCATCCTCACTCCACTTTGCTTTGTCTTGTCATTATGCTCCTCGGGCCAGCCCCCTACCACGTTCTGCCTGTCCTCACTCTCCAGCCAAAGCGGAAGCAGAAATCTCAAGTTTGTGGCGCAACCAAGATAGCTTGAATTTTTTCTTCTGTTTAAACATCTTTTTTTTGTTGTTGTTATTATAAAAATACTTTAATCACGAGACAAGAATTTGGCAACTAGAGAAAAGAAAAACAATTCCTGGCTGCTCCTCACTAAAACAAGCACTGCTAACATTTTCAAGTGTTTCTCCCACTCTCTTCTTCTCTGTGTATATTATTTACATAGCTCTAATCTTGAAAGGGTGGGACTTTGAAAAGGAAGTTTCCTAAGAAACTTCAGGGAAAGAAGAATTAAAATAAACACTTGAGATAAGAGGAGCTTTTAGGGCAGCAGTTGTCTCCTGCTCTGAGTAAATAAACACAAACCCATCCTTGATGTTGTCAAGGGTGCCGCTTTCCAGTTGAAGCCCTAGGCTTTCTCCCTCACTCAGAGCCAGGGTGGCGGTGCCAAGTTGGCCTGTGCCAGGCTCGGCCATGTTCTTAGTTCATCCATTCTGCTCTCGGTATGGGCGTCTGTCACATTCTGGGTCTTCTCTGAGCCTGGGTGTGGAAGGCACTCCTGTAAAATTGGTCCCCAGACACTCCTCTTGGGCCTGGGCTACCGGCCCTCAGACCATGCTTTCTGCTCTCTGTAGCTGGCCCCTGGTATCGTACCTTCTGCCTTGGCAAGTGCCATCTGTCTATTTCTTTTCTTTTTTCTTTTTTTGAGATGGAGTTTCGCTCTTATTGCTCAGGCTGGAGTGCTGTGGAGCAATCTCGGCTCACTGCAGCCTCCGCTTCCCAGGTTCAAACGATTCTCCTGCCTCAGCCTCCTGAGTAGCTGGGATTACAGACACCTGCCACAACGCCCAGCTACCCTCTGTCCATTTCTGTGGGCACAGAGTATATTCAGTAGTTGTCTGTCCTCTGGCTGCTGCTGTCATCCTAGAAGCCTATCTCTACCTCTTCCCTTCCCTCTTCCCGGAAGTACTTCTCTCTCAAAGCCCAAACTCTGCTATTCCAGATCAAGGGACACACCTAGTTATTGAAATTATTTTTCAGAATGCAGAAGGAGGAGGTTTCTCCTCTCCCTGCATATGTGGCATTGTTACTGTGACTCAGTGGTTCTCAAAGTGGGTTCCCTGGACCTGCAGCATCAGCATCACCTGGGAGTATGTTAGGCAGGCAGATTGTCAGACTCCCCTCCCCAGATCTACTGAGTCAAAAAGTCTGGGCACAGAGCCCAGTAACCTGTATTGCAACAAGCCCTCCAGGTGATTCTGATGCCCCTCCAGCCTGAGGCCCACTAAGTGAAGGAATGTTGCTATTTTGCAAAGTGCTAGCCCCACTATGAATGTGAGAGAAAGCATGGGGAAACCGAGGGAGATGAGTTCCTGAATGAGAGAAAGATTCAGATATTCCTTGTCTGGGTGTGTCCTGCAGCCTGGAAACCAAGGCTAGGCTGAGTGTTCACTGGGACTCAAAACCTTGCAGCCTCAGAGAAGTTTTTGCTTGGGTCTAGTCTAAAAACAGCGATGAGGGTGAGATAAGCTCCAAGGACCAGCCAAGGTAGAGTTCTTCATCTGGAGCCACGAGGTTAATATTGGGATAAGGTCTAAGACATCCCAAGAACAAAATCAGTGAAGCAGGCCAGGTGCAGTGGCTCATGCCTGTAATCCCAGCACTTTGGGAGGCCAAGGTGGGTGGATCACCTGAGGTCAAGAGTTTGAGAACAGCCTGACCAACACAATGAAACCCCATCTCTACTAAAAATACAAAATTAGCCGGGCATGGTGGTACATGCCTGTAATCCAGCTACTTGGGAGGCTGAGGCAAGAGAATCCCTTGAATCTGGGAGGCAGAGGTTGCAGTGAGCTGAGCTCGCGCCATTGCACTCCAGTCTGGGCAACAAGAGCGAAACTCCATCTCAAAAAAAAAAAAAAAAAAATCAGTGAGGCATCCAAGCTTCACCAAGGGGCAGAGCCAGCTGCCAGCATCTGTTTGATGCTGCTTCAGGGCCAGGTGTGGTGACTCATGCCTATAATCCCAGCACTTTGGGAGGCCAAGGTGGGTGGATCACCTGAGGTCAGGAGTTCGAGACCAGCCTGACCAACATGGAGAAACCCCATCTCTACTAAAAATACAAAATTAGCTAGATGTGGTGGTGCATGCCTGTAATCCCACTACTCGGGAGGCTGAGGCAAGAGAATCGCTTGAACCCGGGAGGCAGAACTCGCAATGAGCTGAGATCACACCATTGCACCCCGGCTGGCCAACAGGAGTGAAACTCCCTGTCAAAAAAAAAAAGAAAGAAAAAAGAAAAGAAAAAAGAAAGCCTGCTTCAGACCAGCAAGATGGTGCTAGGAGATGTGGGAGACATGGGTTAGGTTGATGGGCTTTTAGGGGACTGTTCCCAGATGGATCTCAGGAGGAACCAAGAAGTATCTAAAGGAGATATATATATATGTTGCTCTTGTGAGAGAAGAACTCTGGGGATAGGCTTGCCTCACTGAAAGAACCAGATATCATCAGGGAGCATCCAAGGTGTGTGTGTGTTGCAGCGGCAGGGATGGGGTGGGTGTGGATAAAGAGAAAGAGACACACACACAGAGAGAAAATGAACAAATAAATTCTGGGAACGGTAAGGATTTCATGGGTCTTGAGTTGAGGCCAACCCAAGGCTTCCTAGCTGGGGTATTCTAGGGCAGGATGAATAGGAGAGGGCTGGAGGTCCTGTGTGCCCAGGAAACCTTTTCAGCCCAGAAAACTGACAGAGCTTTACTTCATCCTCAACCCAGAAATCTCTACGTGGCCTTCTCATCTGGTTTTATACTTTGGTATTTACTATGTTGATTTCCCCACAGCTCTCTTGGTTTAGGAGAGTACCTTTTGAAATTTCCAATCCTACTTGGCTGAATGGAGGTGTCCCCATCACGGCCAACATAGCTAGGCAGAACAGAGCGTCCTTAGCGGCTGTCCTAGCTGGACAGCACGGCGAAATGTGGGGCTGTTAGAATGCTCACAGATGTCCAGTTCCTCCTGTTTCCCAGCGGTGGGCACTCCAGGAGACCCTGCCTGGAGCAGGGTCCAGTAGATTTCCTTTGGGGCCACCACACATAATCATAATTCCTTAAATGTACCCTTGTAGGAGTGTTGTTTTCTCACAAGCATTTCCTAAGCATAGAGATTGTTTTAGTATTTCATATAGTCAAGATGTGGCCATACGTTTAGCTACTAGAGTCTGAGCTACCTGAGGACAGGGACCATATATTTTATTTTTGTGTCTCCAATGCCCAGCATGATGCCAGGTACAAAATCAACAATCAGGAAACATATTTGTGGAACTTTGAGCGGGTGGGTCTTGTTTTGAGGAGCCTACAACCCGGGTGAAGAGACAAAAAAAGTCCCTCAAGGGAAAGGTGGTGATGTGAGTCCCACTCCTATTACATAGCCATGAGCAGGCATCTGCCGGCAGGTTCAGAGGGTGAGGCAGCCCCCTTAAGGAGAAAGTGCAGCTTGAAGGGCATCCTTGATCGACTGCATTTGTTCTGACAGGACTGAGCTTAGGAGAAGCCTCTCATGCCCAGGTAGTCAGAGTTGCCAGGGCAAAGCCGGAGGGAGAGTCCTAGTGCATGTTGGGTGGAATTCTGGCAGATGAACACATGGTGCCCATGAGAGGGGACTCTGGCAGATGAGCAGGGGGTGCCCACGAGAGGGGTCTCTGGGATCACACTGCCAGGGCCTAAATCCTTGCTGTTTTCTTGGTGTTGGTGACCTTGGCAAGATACTTGTCCTTCTGTGTCTCAGTTTCCTTATCTGTAAAATGGGACTAATAGGACCTGTTTTGTAGGGTTGTAAGTGAGTTCATGTATGTACATCACCTAGAACAGTGGCTCACAAGGAGTTAGCGCACTCGGCATGTTTGCTCCCCAGCTTGTACAGGGTCAAGTTCCACACAGTCCCATGTTGACACTGAGAACTGGAGAAAGAAGAGATAAGGGGGATTGAGCAGCAGAGGCGAGAGTGCCAGCCCCTAAGCCACCTGGTGCTGTCTCTCACAGACAGAGGGGGCGAGCCCCCCATTCACAGCACGGGTTCCAAGCTCTGCCTCAGCCTATGACCAGAGAGGACTGGCCCCTGGACAGGAGTACCAGGTCACTGTCCGAGCCCTTCGAGGGACCAGCTGGGGCCCTCCTGCCTCCAAGACCATCACCACCAGTGAGCGCTGGGGCTGTGGGGAGGGGTATCCTGAGTGGAGATCTTGACTGGAGAGGGAATCTGCCCCCCGGGAGGGCAGAGGGAAGGGACTGGATGGGGTCTAGGCTCTTGGAAGGAAAGATGATGACTGAAGAACCAGACACCCGCCTGAGCCCTCCTTCTCTTTAACCTGGCTAGTGATCGATGGGCCCCAGGACCTCCGAGTGGTGGCTGTGACGCCGACAACACTGGAGCTTGGCTGGCTGCGTCCCCAGGCCGAGGTAGACCGATTTGTGGTGTCCTACGTCAGTGCCGGCAACCAGAGGGTGCGGCTGGAAGTGCCCCCTGAAGCAGACGGGACGCTGCTGACTGACCTGATGCCAGGCGTGGAATATGTGGTGACTGTCACAGCGGAGCGGGGCCGGGCAGTCAGCTACCCAGCTTCCGTCAGGGCCAACACAGGTATGGCTGGCCAGAGATTAGGGAAGGGCCCTGGTTTCCCAGCCTTGGATCCTCCTCCTCAGGAGCCCAGGCTCAGGGCTCACAGGCTCCTCTGAATGCATCTGGCAGGTGTGTGGCAGTCTCGAGGCACCTGCTGGGGGCCTTGCTCTGTCCTGAGGCCACTGGAGAGACAGAGCCCTCAGATGCCGGGAGTCCTGTAAGAAGGTTGCAGGTTAGCCTGTGAAAGGAACCGCCCCAGGGAGAGAAGTGAATAGGAGATGCTGCCTGATCCAGTCAGTTAAGGGAGGTTCTTATTTAAATTTAGTTAGTTACAGGCCTTTTGCTGATAGATCTTGTGGGACTGGAATTAGGCAGATTAGAGATCATCAGTCCTGTTGACTTTAGGATTGGAATTGCTGGGAGGTGGGTCTCACAGCAGTGATTTTCCACTAAACCTCGAGGTTTCTTAACAGATACCTGGATATTTTTCTTTTCCTGTGACAGGGGGACACCCACTTCGCTGTAGCTCACGTTCTCTTCCCGGACTCCCCTTTCTCTCCTTCAGCTACAGGGCCCCACCCACGGGCTTCTCTCTTCTTTCTAGGGCACCAACAGTAGTGGGCTTGGAGGGGAATTGGGGGGGGCTCCGGGACACTGACCGATTTCCCTCCGTTCTCTTTCCAGGTGGGGCTGGGGCACAGGGAAGAGGCCTCTGGCTCTGGTGGGAGGGATCGAGGGAGGGGCTGCCGGGGAGGAGTGCCGGAGGGAGCTGCCACTGACCTGTTCTCCTCCCCTTTTTCGCCCCTGGCAGCACCAGGCCACTACAGTTACCCGGAGGTGCGCCCCCCAGCCCCGCCCCCCAAGCCCCGGCCCCGGCCAGCCCCAGCCCCGCGGCCCCCACGGCCCCCTCGGCCCTCGAGGCCCGCAGAGGAAGGGGAGGAGGAGTCCTCGCTCAGGCCAAGCCTGTCCCAGCCCCCACGGCGGCCTTGGGGCAACCTGACGGCCGAGCTGAGCCGTTTCCGCGGCACGGTGCAGGACCTGGAGCGCCACCTGCGGGTTCACGGCTACCCACTGCGGGCCAACCAGACTTACACGTCGGTGGCGCGCCACATCCATGAATACTTGCAGCGGCGTCTGTTGGCCGCCGCCCCCGCCGGCTCCCCCGCACCCCTGACCCGCCACCCCCGGCCCACCGCCAGCCCTGACCCCGGCACCAGGAAACGGGACTCCAACCAGGGAATCTACGGCCTCTCGCCTGAAGGTGTCGACCGGGTGGCTGCGCCCCGCCACCCCAAGCCAGAGGTGCTGGGCAGTTCCGCCGATGGCGCGCTTCTCGTGTCTCTCGACGGGCTCCGCGGGCAGTTCGAGCGCGTGGTGCTGCGCTGGCGGCCTCAACCGCCTGCAGAGGGCCCCGGCGGTGAGCTGACCGTGCCGGGCACCACGCGCACCGTCAGCCTGCCCGACCTCAGGCCCGGCACCACCTACCACGTGGAGGTCCACGGGGTGCGGGCGGGGCAGACCTCCAAGTCCTACGCCTTCATCACCACCACAGGTAGCGTGGGCTGGGGCCACGGGACACCCCATGCCTTGTCCAGCCTCACCTGCCGTTGGAGCCTGCATTCATGAGTTCCTCCTGCTGCCACTGGCAGCCTTCTAACTTCGGGCGCTACCTGGCCGAGGCTCCAGGGGGCCCCAGGACAAAGCACGAGTCCAGTGTCCCTAGAAGACGTCCCCACCCCCAGGGTCCTGGCATCCATCCTGTGGATGCCTAAGGTCAAGGCAGCCCCTTCTTTGGGGTTCCTGGGACACTTCCAGGATTGCTATTTTAGGCAATAGAGGGGGATGTGGTTGGGGCGCCTGCAAAGGTTCACTGGAGCAGTTTGAGTGGGCTGGGAATTGAAAACAGTGATTCCCGTTCTGACTCACTGTGGTGAGAGTGGCTCAAGACTGTGGTCAGTGGTTACTGTTTTCCACAATTGGGCCTTGACCTTGAAGGGAAACATCAGAACTGCGTGGGGGTGGCCTGGGTGCCATCAGGCAGCAACTGTATGTCGGGGAGGTGAAACCACTGCTTCTTGATCTGGCTTTTCAGACCTTCTGGCTCACTTTATGCTGGTCTCTCCCACAGGAACGATGTCTGGGCTTGGGGAAAGGGCACCCTGTGGCTGCTGTGGGGTGGGTGGTGGACCTCTTCTTCCCCCATAGGGCCCAGATGCCACCTGACCTGGATGTCCACCCCCACGCCCTCTTTCTCTTCCCACTGCCCACTCTCCTCTTGCATCCTCCCTCTCTAACACCACTGTCTTTCTTCCAGGCTTCTCACTGCAGCACTAATGGAAGCCACCTGACCACCACCCAGTGGGGGGGATGTATGTGGGGAGGGACATGGAAGTCTCCAGGGGCTGGAGGTCATGGAAGCCTTGTGGGGTGAGGGACAGCAGGCTTTATTTTATTTATCACCTGCCTGAAGCGCAGGCCCAGCTGCTCAGGAATGTGGTAGATGGGGGTGTTTGGAGGACTGGCTGACCTTTGGGAGGAGGGAGTGGCCCAGGTGATGGAACCAGAAGTAGAAGAGGGTAGGGCCCCACGGCTCTTAAAGGCTAGAGGGCAGAACCTGGGAACTGGGGATTCCTTTCTAATTCTCATACTGGACTCTCCTCTTTTTCTCACCCTGCCCCTTCCCAGGGTCCTCACCCTCGGGCCTCTTGGGGACTACCGATGAGCCTCCTCCCTCAGGCCCCTCAACGACCCAAGGGGCCCAGGCTCCTCTCTTGCAGCAGCGCCCCCAGGAGCTGGGAGAGTTGAGGGTGCTGGGCAGAGATGAGACAGGGCGCCTCCGTGTGGTCTGGACCGCCCAGCCCGACACCTTTGCCCACTTCCAACTGCGCCTGCGGGTGCCCGAGGGGCCGGGGGCACATGAGGAAGTGCTGCCAGGGGACGTCCGCCAGGCTCTGGTGCCTCCACCCGCTCCTGGAGCCCCGTACGAGCTGTCACTTCGTGGGGTCCCTCCTGGGGGCAAGCCCTCTGACCCTGTCATCTACCAAGGCATTATGGGTACATATTTGACTCTGCTCAGATCAATATCCTGAGATTGGGGGAGGAACTGGGGCTATTGGGGCTTCAGAGGTAGGATGGATATTGAGGGGCCAGTGAAGGGCAGAGCTGGTGTTTGGGGCTGGATAGAGGAGAAAAGGAGAGAAAAGGAATTGCAGGTTCAGCGGGAAGATGGATCGAGGAGGATCTCAGAACAATGATGAGGATAGGTGGGGAGAGGGGAAAGAGGCAGAGATAAAAAGGCCAAGAGTGGGACAGAGATTCCAGAAGAGAGGCTGAAGGTCCCTGGCCCTCCACCTGCAGCTTTCCTTGCCCTTTCCCCTGCCCCTACTCTTCGGTTGCTCCTCTGCCCTGCCCTGCCCTGCCCTGTAGATCTTTCAGGGTGGGCATGGTAAGGCCTCTGGACACTGACTCTTAGCTCCCAACACCTCATCCCTGAGAGCCTGGTTTGCAGTGGACAGCAGTCCGTGGTCCCATCAGCCAGTTTCTGCTGGGGGTGAAGGCTCCTTGGGGCAGAGGGCTCCACAGCCATCAGGACTTCAGACATGGATGAGGTTTGCAGGACCAGCGAAAGACAGGTCCTGGAGTACCTGGCTTTCACACCCCCTCTTTGTTCCTCTCTGTGGGACCAGGGTGGCTGACTCATCCCCCAGCTCCAGGTCAAGCTCAGAGAGGGTGGTAAGAGAGAAAGCAGCGCAGGTGGGCAGAGGAGCCTTCAGAATGCTCTGAAGCTGCAGTGGGGAGGCTTGAAACTCTCCTACAGAACCCAGAGGGGACCTGAAACCCCCCCAAAGATCCTGGGGTGCAGAGGGACCAAGACCCTGTGAGGAATGGATAAACTGTCACAAGGGAAGGAGCAGAGATTGAGAGGGAAATGCCTGTCTGCCAGGAGAGCTGGTCACTGAGTGGGGAGATAGCGTCTTCCAGGGAGGGAGCTATCAAGGATGGAGTGAGGTGGGCAGGGGAGAGGGAAGGAGACACAGAAAAGAGAACAGTTGAGTCCACTATGCTTTGCTTTTGCCTCCCAAACTCCAGACAAGGATGAGGAGAAGCCTGGGAAGTCCTCAGGCCCACCACGCCTGGGTGAGCTGACGGTGACAGACAGGACCTCCGACTCCTTGCTCTTGCGCTGGACAGTCCCCGAGGGCGAGTTTGACTCCTTCGTGATCCAGTACAAAGACAGGGACGGGCAGCCCCAGGTGGTGCCCGTGGAGGGGCCCCAGCGCTCAGCCGTCATCACCTCCCTGGATCCTGGCCGCAAGTACAAATTTGTCCTGTATGGGTTCGTTGGCAAGAAGAGGCATGGTCCCCTGGTGACTGAAGCCAAGATCTGTGAGTGACAGCAGCAACACCCTGCCCTCTGTACTGCCCTGAAGGAGGTTTCCTCAGTGCTTTGGGAACCTGCTTTGGGAGGGAGCTCCAGGAAGGCTTCCTGGAGGCAGTGGTGCATGAGCTGAATTCTGAAGGGAAAGTAGTGGTGGGGCAGGCACAGTGTTTGAGAAGCTCAGTGCAGCCTGAGGGAGTCACGATGATCGAGGTGGGGAGAGCATGGCCAGTAAGAGAATCACTGTCACAGTTTCCTCTGGCTGGAGAACAGGGCATGTGGGGGTGCCAAAGGGCCTGGTCTCAGGGCTTCCTATGCTGTACTGAGGGGCTTGGGCCTCATTTGAAGGCCCCTAGAGGGCCTCTGAGGGTAAAGTGGGAGAGTGACGTGACTAGATGTTTATCTTGCAAATAGCACGGTGGCTGCTGAGACTAGCTGGAGAAGTGAGTTAAGAGCTGGTAAGGGCTGGCAGGGTCGATCCTGCCTATAATCCCAGCACCTTGGGAGGCCAAGGCAGGAGGATAGCTTGAGGCTAGGAGTTTGAGACCAACCTGGCAACATAGTGAGACCCCCCATCTCTACTACGACAAAATATATTAGCCAGGTGTGGTGGTGCGTGCCTGTAGTCCCAGCTCCTTGAGAGACTGAGGTGGGAGGATCGCTTGAGCCCAGGAGACTGAGGCTGCAGTGAGCCATGATTGTGCTACTGTACTCCAGCCTGGGTGCTATCCACACTCTGCACAGAGCAACACCCTGTCTCAACAACAACAACAAAAAAAAAGACGATGGGTCAGTTGGGATGGTGGCAGTGGGGCTGGATGTGGGAGGCGGAAAGCAAGGCGTACCAGGCAGCCCCCAGGGTTCTGGATGAGACAGTCCCATTCCCTGAGGCAGGGAGCAGCAGAGGTGGGGAATAATGCCTTAGATAAACTTAGATCAACATCTAAGGGACACTTACATAAATACCTTTTGTGCATTTATTGAGAGTCGATTGTGATCAAGATGTTCAAAGTGGATCATCGCACTCCATAAAGCACACCTGGGAGGCATACCTACTTTATAGGTCAGGAGAATTGAGGCGCCAGAGTAGCAGTGTGGGGTTGGGGAAGAGACAGGGCCACTGGAACCCCGGGGACAGTCTATACTCACAGCGGAGGCGGAGGAAGAAGGGCCCACAGGGTAGCTTGAGGAGTGACTTGCAGGGAGGCGCAGAACCAGGGAGGGTGCTGTCCTGGGCTCCAGGAAGGAGGGCGTGGTTGGACTTGTCAGATTCCAGAACAGTGAATCAAGGGCTACGGAGTGTCCACAGGATTTAGCATTGGCAAGGCCACCACTGGCCTCTGTGAGAGCTACTGCCTGGTGGAGGGGTGAAGCTGGATCGTGAGGGTGGTGGAGGTGAGGACGTGGCTACAATCAGTGTAGACATCACTTTCTGGAATCTGGGCTGGGAATGAGAGCAAAGAGGGAAGATGGAGGCTGGAGAGAGATGCACACAGAATGGGGGTGGGGAGGGGTGTGACAGTAGCTTGTTGAAATGCTGATGGCACAGCTGCTGGGGAGTGAAGGGTCAGTGCTGCAGGTGAGGGAGTCCATCCATGGATCAAAGTTCCAAAGGAGGAAGAGGAGAGGCCTGCAGCATAGATGAGGGAGGCTGTCCCACATTAAAATACTTCAAGGATTGTGCTCTCCTCTCTTGGAGAAGAAGCCAGCTAGTAGTTAGGCTTGGAAGCAGTGGAGGTTGTACTGGGAAGATTTCCCTGGCTATGGAGATGTGAAAGGGCCTGGCTGGGCTCCCCTCTTTCTGAAGGTCCCTGCTGCTCCAGTTTGTGGTTGGAGGCAGAGCCACACTAGTCCACGCAGTGCTTCCATGCCGTTTGGAAGAAGGCACCCGTTCCTTTAAGTGGACACCACTCCTCACCAGGGCACACAGCTCAGCAAGCAGAGTGCTGGCTGGATTTCAGTCCCTTTGTACTCCCTCAGCAAATGCACTTTTGTACAGTG